AATCTTATTTTATTTAAAAATTATAAAAACTTCAAATTTTTTGGCGGGTTTGATTGACATCCTTGCACTTTCACAAATTTTAACTTTATTCTTAAACCTTAGGAAAAGTGGCAATTTTGATGTGTTTTAATGAGAAATATTAAAACTTTTATCAAGAAAAATAATTTTATTCAGAGTAGAAATGTTAGAAAGCAAAACACCTTCACAAGTATCGTCATTCCGAACTAAGAGATGCGTACAGAGTTTAGCAAATCGAACACACTCGTGTTATGTACACAATTTTTGTAAACAGGGCTCGAGTTCTGTTATTGTTTATATTTAGAATTCACCGGGTGCGTTCAATCGTCACAGTCTGCTTACCACAACTGCATGGACTGACAATATATTGTGTGTTTGTTTTGCTTTCGAACGTGTCTACTCTGAATTTTCTGGATTATAGTATTAATATTTTTCATTTATACAAAACGAGATTGCCACTTTTCCTAAGGATTAAGAATAAAATTAAATTTGTGAGAGTGCAAGGATATGTCAATCAAACCCGCCGAAAAATTTGAAATTTCAATATCTTTTAAACGAAATAAGATTTTTAATTAATTTTTGTGTGAAATGCTATTAAATGCATTGCAGCTACATGCTCATGGAAACAGAATTGGTGTTGGCCAGGGGAATGTGATAAAAATCTTGCTAAAAACTGCATTTGCAAAGAAGGCTTTGTTTTGTCAACTACAGATTCGCACAAAGTTTGTCAGTGTAAGTCATATTTTTATTTGCTTAAAAGGTTTGAACATTAATGTAAAATAAAGAATCACAGGGGTAATCTTGACCCCTACTTAAAAGAATTTCAGTAATTTTGCAAGGAACTATGTTTACTTTAATTCAACTTTATATTTTTTTCAACTTGAATTTCTTTTTTTTTAAGTGAATTTATATCCAAGACCTAATTCAACTTTTTATTTTATTTTATTTTATTTTTTTGTCATTGACTTCTTTTTTCAGTGAAGATAAGACCAAACCTACTCACCTGTCGTATGGGGATCCAAAACAGTGGCGGCGAAGTCCGAAATTCATCTTTAGCCGGGCCATGTTTAGATGAGAAATACAACTATACGAAGTTCCTGCCATCGTTTGCCTCCTTCACTTTTGAGTTTCAAATCTCAATACCGAATTCTCCACCAAAGCCATTACATATTTATGAGTCTGCTTTTGGAATTGTAAACACGACCGTAACTTTATTTAAGAATGACACTCTTGGTATGTTTCTGTTATCTTATATAGTGGAAGTGCATTAATTTTTCTTTTCGAAAATCTATTTCTTAACTCTTGAATATTTAGCAGATTAAGAACACGGTTAAGCAATGATGCTCAATACAACTGTTTTACCTTTTGTGTCTGTGTTTTTGTCCATAAAAATTTTTTGTCGTTGTTTTCTCAACATTTACTCATCGTAGATGCTTGAAATTTTAGCACTTTTATTGCCTATGTATGTTATATGATAGGAATCATGTTTGTAGAAATCCGACGTCAAGGCCAAAATAAAATTATAGTTTGTTTGGAATTGCCTCCCGCCTCATTGAAATTGCCCCCTCCTGAAAAAATTTTATTGACCAAAAGTAGGAAGATTTTTTTTTATTTAATCAATTTTTTTTGGCCCAATACATGTATCACATGCACCATACAAAAACAATTAAATATAGTGTCAGATCTATGTAAAATTAGGTTTTTTTGTTGATGGTAGAAAAAAAAAGTCAGAAAATGTATTTACTATTTACTGAGACTTTTATCAAAAATTAAAATTTTTTTCTTCAATTAAAAAAAAAAATTTCCCTCCCTCCCTCCTGTGTCTGAAACCTTTCAGGCGGCAATTCCAAACAAACAATTTTTTAAGGATGGCCCAACTTCCTGTTTCTATCTGCGTCTGATCCTATTAAAATGTATGGTGTGATTATGAGAACGCATGTTCACATCAGAGCAGGGATATTATAAGCAAGCATTAACTCACATACATTTTTTTTCTTTTTATGAGTGATTTTTAAAATATTTTCAATTAAAATTTCAAGGATCTTTTTAGGGGGTTACATTATGCTCTATTAAGTTCAAATAAGGCCCTTGCAATTGGGTCTCTTGCTTTTAAGTGATTCATTTGTAATTTTCAAAATATTTGGCGATATTGTTACAGGAAATACAATTGAACTCAGAGTTTTAGATCCAAAAGAACAGAAGAGTTGTGATAAAAATAATTTCAGTGATATGCATCCATTACAAGAAATTCCAATTACATGTAAGATGACAATCAACACACCTTGGAAATTTTTGGATGGCGAACAGTAAGTGCGGAAAATATCAATTCTTGTGAATATTGAAACAAATACATGTATATAAATACATATTAATAATTAATTGATTTATAAAGTGCTAAATATTTATAAAATAACTCTTTAGCGCTGTACAATAAAACGCAAGTAAAAATAATATAAGAACTATGAATACATTGATAAATTTAGCATATATGTGTTAGAAATTATAACATTAAAATTCTTAAGTGACACATATAAAACAATTACGTCATTAATAAAACTATCAACAGAAGAGCATGAGATTTGTTGCTAAAATTAATGCGACAAGTATATTTACATGTAGGAGCCATTGTGATTTCTTTTTAAACATTTCTTTTCAAAACAGATTTGTATTCGCTCTACTAAACTTGCAAATGATGACGTAAAACGAGAGCGTTGATTTATAATTTTACTAAATTGTACATTGTAAAATGTTTTTAACGAGTTAGTTGATTTATATAAGGAATCACTGTCTAGTTAGTGTACGAGGGCTGTTTAATAAATAATGTCCTCGGTGCTCAGAAAGAAGCAAACGACGCTTTTCAATGATTTAGTCTCCATGATTTTACTCATCTCTTTTAATTCAAACACATGTCCGTAACATTTAAAATCCAATTTCTGATTTTTTTAGAACTCATTTTTGGCTATGACCCTTAGTATACTGGAAAATGGCAGATCCAATTATTTCATGGACTTGTTTTTTCCTTCTGGAAGGTGTTTTTTTTCAAGTTTGGAAATAGAAACAAGTCAAAAGGTCAAAGTTCTGGCAAATATTGTTAATGTGAAAAAAATTAACTTTCTGTTTATTCCCGAAAACTCCTTCACTCTTCAGGGCATGCGGGTTTGGACGCTGTCGCGAAGAAATTCAGTGTAGTGGATTCCTGATTCTGGGCCCTTCCTCTAATAAATCTTTTGATTTTTTTTTTTTGAAAAAAAATTGCTTTCTAGACTCCTCCAGATATTAACCTGTCTCCCCGAATACGAATTTGAACAACAATACCACCAATATTTAATAAAATTGCATATAAATCTATCTTTGTGCTCTTGCATACCTTTGCTCTTGTCAGACCTTCGCCGTTTTTATCAAGTACATCATATGGTAAATTTTGTTTTGAGCAATAGATTCATGTTCCAATATCTGTTTGAATATAAAACAAACGTGGATAACTCTAATTACTGATATTTTAAAATAATTTTTAAGACTTTTGTACACGCTGTCGTTTTCACTCATTTTTCAAAATATAGGATGACCTTTGAATACCAAGCTTTTTGTACTGTCAAATATTTCTTTAAAACAGTGTAAACTACTCCCAATATGATGCCTATCAAATTTGCTATGTGTATTAAAGCCAATCATACAACATCAAATATTATTTATTGTAATTTAGCAAACAGTACATAAGTTGTTATAATTTTTGTTGGCCCGGAGGGTACCCATCTTTGATGCCCATTTAATAATATTTTATCATTGAAATCCACCTGCTCATTTGTCTATAAAACAGACATCGGTTGCTGTAAATGTCACAAATTTCAGTGAATATTTCGTTGGGATTTTTAACAAGTTTTACAGCAGCTTTAATGTATCTTTTATTTTCACCACTCTAGTTTAGTGATTCTTTACCATTCATTTATAATACAGTGTCACGAATAGCCATTGTTTCCCAGCTTCTCACGATGAAACTATGTGATGAAAAGTGGTCACATAAACTGTTATAATAAAAAATTCATTAAAGATTCACTAATGAGAGAAAGTTAAGTTTAATGCCATATGATACCATTATCTGTATTGTATGACATACAGCTCAGGACATTATTTATTGAACAGCCCTCGTAGTATGCCAGGGCATCAACGATAGTTGAAAACATGGAATAATTTGCATAACGGGCGAAAGTTAATGTCATCAAGTTTATCATTAAATGTAATCTTTCGGTTGCCATTAATCTTTTTCAAGTAAAATATCCAAATAAGAAACAGATAAGTCAGACTGTATGGAACATGTATATTTATTTCAAACTCACTGAAATATAGTCTACATATTCTAATGTATCTACTGTATAAAGATGTAAAAATGTCAACTTTAGGCCTTCAGCATTTCTTGGTCCGTTTTATGAAATATTAACCAACTGTTATTCGCGTCGTCTTTTATTTTCGATTCATCAGTTTGAAATCAATCCTCTATTTAAAGCAAAAACGGCTGCACCCATGATGTGGCTTTAAGATTTATGATAAACTACCTTGATGAGAAGCTATAAGCAGAAAGTATAGGCTTTTAAGACCCTTAATCGATGATTTATGTGAACAGTTTCAACATGAACTCCAACGCCCTACAGTGATATCTCACTTCACATAATGGTTACATTCCATTTTATGCAGCCGTTCTTCAGTACATATATCTCCATAAAAGTTGACAAAATTATAGTCAACATAAACCAAGCATCCGACTGCGTTTCGTGTTAATCATACATTTTAATTTTTTGTACATCTACTTTACACTTTTTTCCAAAAAAACTTCTAGCAGACAATCTGTATGAATATGATGTTTTAAAAATTTTTGTACAAAACATTTTCATTGGATTTTTTTTTCTCGAAAAGGTTTTGCATAAACTTTGCTTCTTTTGGTGGAGGTTACATGATAACAAAGGATTTTAACAATAATAAAGCTGGATATCACATTTACCCTTCAACAAAATCCTCTCATATTGTGTGTATGCGGTATGATTCAACGCCACCGAAACATTGCCTTGAAGATATGTCGTGCAAAAACAATGAACATATCCTCTTCGACAATAGAATAACTAGGACATCCGAAATTAAATTAGATATGGCGGGGTGGTTTGATCCATATCCTGTCCACCCTATTCAAGCTTCAGGCATAAAAAGTTTTGAGGTCAATATCCATGATATGCAAGAAGTTGATTCCTCTACATTGGCTATGGATGAAAAATCTTTATTAACTTATAATGTCGATGGAAAACACAGTACAATTCGGCTACCTGAAAGACAACCTGCTCTTTACGGTGTTTCATTGGAAGTGCTGGATGGTGCTGGGAATTTAAAAAAAGCCAGAAGATTTGTGTTATATGACGACTCCTCTAGTCTGCTTGTAGACTCTAACAAGACGTTTTTCCTTACGTCGGGGAGCCCTGTAACGAACTTCACATGGCAAACACATCATGGTGATATTTGTAGCACTTGGAAAGACCGATATTATAATTCCTATAACATCAATTATAATTTACTAAGAAAAATCAATCCTGATTTCTATAAATTTTATAAAGGAATTTATGAACAAATTACAGGACAGTTGCCTGTGAATGGAACGCCAAATTTTAACGGAGTAGTTGGAACCCGTTATCTTGCTTCTTGTGATGGAACAACGATTCAAAACATAACATTGCAAAACTTTTTAAGCCAAAGAACTTGTCAAAAATATAACTTAAAAGATGGACAAACATATGAAATATCCATAATTCCTATCGACATTATTCGAAATTCCTTAAAAGAAACGATTACCGTGCATATCGACGCCAGTGTTCCAGACATTATAGATATTAGCTTGGAAAAAGATAATGTTCGCCAACTCTTTGTTCACAACTCTTCAGATCTTTCCAGAATGAATATAACCTTTGAGGCTTTTGACATTCATAGTGGAATACATTCAATAGAATGGATGCTGGGTACAACAAACGATAACGGAGATTTGGGGAAAGGGGCCATAGCTGTGCATCACCTGAAAACAATGGTAATAAATGATTTCTTTATATTAAATGCTTTAAAATCATTAAAACAGTTTTAACGATATAAGCTATATGAAATAAGTCTGATGTGTCGGGTGTACTCTGATTGCAGTCACCAGATTACACCCGACAGACAGGAAGCCTATTTCATAGCGGTCCGGATTTCTTACTTTACAACTGGTATAAACTTCAAAATGTAACATTTTAACTATTTAGTGTTTAGTGGTTTAGTAGCAGTGTTAGTTGTTATTATTTTTCTCAGTGTTTTGTCTTGTTTAATTGACGTCTTAACTTCTAAACTGTCGTTCCGAAAATTTCACAATTTTTATTGCTCCTGACGTTGGTTCTTTTATTGCTTTCTATACATTTATATATTTCCATCCCTGACCTTGTATCTTGTGATCTTTCAGGAATCTTGTAATGGCTCAAATCATTGTTATTGTCCAAGGATTGGTGTTTGCGAAAAATCGTTGTATTGGGTAAACTTCAACAGCTTGGTGAAGAATAACAAACACAAAGGACACCATAACAGAGAATATTTCTTTGCATTAAAAGTTACAAATGGTGCAAAACTGGTCAGCATATCTAAAGTTGATATCCTTACCGATGATTCTCCACCTGAAAAAGGAGTGGTCGAGGAAGGACCAAATAACAGCCCAGATATTGATTTTACGTCATCTAAAAGAATACTCGTGCGATGGAGTGACTTCATTGACCATGAGAGTGGTATCAAAAAATATCGCGTTGGCATCAGTAAAACATGTCTATCAAAAGATGAGATGCTCCACAACTATCACAGTAGAATAGAGACACACAAATATTTGTTTGAAACCAAAAATAATCACATCAGTGTCCAAGTTGAAAATCCGGGACAGTATTTTACTTCCGTCATTGCTTATAACTATGCTCTAGAAGCCTCAGATGTATCGTGTTCAGATGGTATTGTATATGATGTTTCTGAACCTCTTGTAAACGACTTGATTTTACGTAATTCCAAATCAGATGAGTTTATAGGATGTTATAATTCTTCAGCTTGGCTAATCTTGAATAATATTACAGCCGTATCATTGCAGTGGACAAATCTTTGTCAGCAAAAATGTAATGAAAGTGGTATGGAATATAGTCTTATAAGGCACTTGCCTCGTGTGTACTTAAATGCATCTGATGACGAATCATACGCAGACGCTCTTTGCCAGAAGCTTAAAGTTTACAATGAGGAGTACTTTACATATATACCTTCCGATGAAATCCATCTGGTGTGGAATGTGACAGACGAAGAATCACAGATTCAAATGATGCAAATTGGATTCTTGTCTACAAAACAAAACTCTCTTGATCCGGATATTATGTCATTTACGCCAACAAAGCGTTTATTAAGTGAGCGAATGCATTCAGGAATAGACCCAGGAATCCCATTCTTTATTGTCTTGAAAGCATCCAATAAAGCCAACCTTGAAACAATTGTAACGCTGGGACCTGTCATTATTGATGACACACCACCTCAGTATAGCGGGGGCGTAAATGTCACTATGGATAACGACTTCGTTTATGTCGTTTGGAATGATAAAACTTTCCTTGAAGAGGAACAAAAAGAGGATGTTTCGAACATTCTCTTCAAAATAGGTAAAACGCAATTTTTTACCTCAATATCAACGTTTGTTTTTATATTCATGTTCAAATCAAATAAACACAAAATATTCTTCTTATATTTTTGCATATATTTCAGGCCATGGTTCAACTTTCTTTACACCGTTGTTACAAGGATATATTACTCATGCTTGTCCAAAGTTCAATAACACGATCACTTGCTTCAAGTATCCAATCCGAAGAATCCAAAGTCTAAATGATGATTATACTTCATTTTACTTTGAGTTGTACATTTACAACATAGTAGGTCATTCTTTAATAATTCGAACAGAGAACTTTATAGTTCCCTCTCGATATCCCCCAACTCCAGGGACGGTTCTGGACAGAAGTGAAGAGTTTTGGCGGTCAAATGATATTGATTTTATAGCAAAAGGAGATATTGTATGCGTCGATTTTCTTGGTTTCAGACACAACGAAAGAGTCTCTCTTGAACTTGCTCTGTCTACGGACAAAAAGTTTGATAACGTTATGAAATTTAGACCGCTTCCTCAAAATAAATGTTTGCACAATGTCACATTGCCTGTTAATGTAAAGATTTATTCACTGATAAGAGCATCGTCTTCAGGAGGAAATACAACTTCGATGTCGGATGGATTTGTTGTTATTGATAAAGCTCAGGTTAAGAGTGCTCTTAGTGTTATTGACGGAGTTCCATGTGGACCTTCTTCAGTTTATTTTCAAGAAAAAATTCCCGCCACAACGAAAAATAATACTATTTCTATCCGTAAACCACTGGCATTGAACCATATTTTTACGTTAAAATTAACTGGCCATCGATTTAGCATGAATGATATTTCCTCCCAAGATACTCTCTGGATAAGCAACAAATCAATTTCAGACACAGAGATTCGAAGGTCCTTTGTTCCACTAGTAAACAATCCGACTTTTATTGTCAATACTAATGGAAATATAACATACAAAAATATAACCTTAGATATTTTGTCCTGTTACGAAAATGCAGATTTTCAAACCGAACCTCAAGTCTATAAAGTGTTTTGGAAAATACAAAAGGAATACGAGAATTTGGTTACACACTTCTTAACAACTATCATGTCATCTTCTCGTGGAGAGGCCTATGCTCTGCCACTGCAAAAAACGAAAACAATGCAAAACATACCTCTGAATGGAATTCAACTCAAGGAGAGCCACGCATATAAGGCTGTAGTGCAAGCATGCTTCGAAAACGTTTGTAGTATTCCTGAAAAGTCAAAAGGATCCATAATTCAGCTCCAAAATCCAACAAGTGGAACGCTCAGCTTGTCACTGGAAGCCGTTCACAATCATCAGTACAACCTGGTTATGTCGTTTGAAAGATTTCTATGCAGTGATTATACAACGGCAAAGATATATTTAGTTTCAATATCAAATAAAAATGGTGAACAGATTGACAATTGGAGAAGAATTCATCTAACAAATTTAAATTCCACATTAATTTCAGTAAGTAAATTACATAAACATGAATCAATTTGATTGATTGATTGATTGTATATTGTTTTACGTCCCTCTTGAGAATTTTTTACTCATATGGAGACGTCACCATATGCCGGTGAAGTGCTTCAAATTTAGACCTATACTCGGCACTCAGGGCCATTGAGCAGTGAGGGTTCTTTATCGTGCCAGCGCCTACCGTGACACGGGACCTACGTTTTTAAGGTCATATCCGAAAGACCCATGACTTTCACTTCTGATGCCGAGCGCTTGGCGAAGGAACAGTCACTACCTATTTTTACGTAGGTTTGACGCGGCGCCGGGATCGAGAATCGAACCCGGGCCTCCCGATCACGAGGCGAACGCTCTACCAAGAGGCTACCGTGACCGGTTGAATCAATTTGACGTCCTAGTATTTAATTATGGGAATTATTGACAACTTCCCAGTTAACATAATGCACTAATCACCTGTAGTATTTAAACACATGTACTCACTTTATTGTCAATCTTTCAAGGTAACTATACTAGATTCTCATTGCTTTCAATTTCAGGCTATAATATATAACATCACTCTTCCGATCTATTTAAAACACTCAGTTTCTGCCTGTGTAAAAGGGGTGTGCCTGTCTGGGAAATCGATCACTACTTGTGAAATTATTGGAACCAAAGAAGATGGCAGAAGTGAGGATACAAATATTGTCTACGAAATAAATGCAGATTCCGATGACATGGCAAATATCCGTTCTTTTGTACATAGCATATATCTTGGGGAGAATATGGCTACATTACATAACAATGAAATTGATATCATTACAAAGAATACAAAGTTATCAGGGGTGCTTACAAATGCATTTGGTCGCGATATCAAATGGTATTTAATGACGGAACCGCGTATACCTAACATGTCTTGTTCCGACGACATTGCATGCCTGCAGACGACTTCTTCCCTCGATGGCGTCGGACAATTTAAACGAATTCTACTTCAAGAGAACAAAAGGTATTTTATATGTGCATATTCAAGCAAAACAATTCTAAGATACGAAAAATTTACCGAAGAAAAAGAGGAAATTGAAGTCTGTGGTAATGGTATGATTGTGGATGATTCCCCTCCCATTCCAGGAGAGGTTAACATTGTTACAGATAATGGGTATTTCGTTAATACGGAAGGCGTGTTTGTGATAACCTGGGAAAATTTTACAGATATGGAACAGAATGCTGAAATTCCCTTTCCGTCAGGCATAGCAAAATATGAATACTGCATTGGTAATATTATTTGACCTCATAATCTTTCTACGAAAAACTTCACAATAATAAATTGGAAAATACACAGATACAGATTCCCTTATTTTGTAGGGACCTATGTTGGTGGAAGAGATGTGATACCCTTTGTTGATGTGGGCATAGTTATGTCTGCAGTCATTACAAACGTAACCATGAATAACAAAGTAACGTACTTTGCCACTGTTAGAGGTAATCCTTTTTTAATTCCTTGTGTCTTTGGAAGAATTTACAGAATTACATTCATACTTTGTTACTAAAATTTTGATACTACATTGCTTTTTTTTAAATATGAAGACATGAATATATTTTGTGGAAGCCAACAGAACAAAGTTGTTATATGATAAGAATTTACTTTTCCGAGCGGAAAACTAATCAAAGATAATTATCAATTGCAGCAACTGATAGAGTCGGTCATCTTGTTCAGAGCTCATCAGCAGGCGTTATGTTTGATAATACACCACCTACTATTGGACAAGTGTTTGCCGGAATAACAGAAATTCACAAGTATATAGCAAGTCACAAGGATATATCAGCTTCATGGTTTGGTTTTGATGACCCTGAAAGTGGCATTAAATCATTTCATGTGGGAATAGGGTCTTCTAACTTTACTGCTGACATCTATCCACTGACAGAAGTTGACGGAAATTTTTGGAAATTAGAGGAATCGCTTGATTCCATTATTGATGGATATGAATATTACATCCATCTACTGGTAATGAAACCGTAGAGAATATTTTTGATAGATTATGCCATCACAATGTTTATCTTGTAATTCACTACATAGAACGCTCATAAAATGTCTTACAATTATACAATCATTTCTTATTACATCAAGTTATTCATTTAGAATAAAATCAATCTTTATCAAATTGGGGATGATAAAAATTTTTTTATTTAAATTTTCTTAAGTGAAAAATAAAGGAGAATGTTTGAGAGATGTATTTTGTAAATTCTTCATTAATCTTTTCAAATTAATTATACAGGTGACAAACAATGCAGGGTTATCAACAACTTCACATTCCCATCCATTTCTAGTTGACAGTAGTCCACCATCTGGAGGTTTTGTGAAAGATGGCGATTCCCAGGTAATCAGTGAAAAGGAATCAGGGATGAAAAACAATTGTAAAAACGTTTGAAGAAAGTATTAACCTTTTTAAATCAAATTCCATTTATAGAATAGTTTGTGGGTTTTTCTAGGTTGAAGTTGATTTCCAGTTAAATACGACTTACATATGTGCAAGCTGGGATGGTTTTCATGACATTCACACAAAACTTTCATACTATGAAGTTGGCCTGGCAATATCAAATCAGGAAGATGAGAATTTTCCATTTACATCTGTTGGACTAAGTAAAAGTAAATCCTTTCACTCTAGAATTTTTTTATTTTCCTGATAATTCATCAATAAGAATTTTGTACCATTTATATCATTAAGGCAAAAATGTTAGAGAAATTTTTTTGTAAAATTTAATAATCTATTACATGTTCTGGACAGAATCATACCTGTAACGTAAGTTGTAACCTGGGGTTTATTACCAGTGATGGAAGAAGAAGAATCAAAGGAATATTTTATTAGAAAATGTTTATATATTTTGATTTTTATATCCAAAGAGAACTGTTGGACGGGTTTATTTGAACCTGGGATGAAGTATTACACTATTGTCAGAGCATGCAATCAGGCAGGTCTGTGCACTAGGAAGTATTCCGATGGCATCGTAGTTGACAGCTCACCTCCGGTACCGGGGCTGATCCATGTCGGTTTAAGTGATAGACATCAGCATTATATAAGTCATAGGTAGGAAGTAGATAATAATTAACAAACAATTTAATATCAGGTACTTATATAGTATTCAATTAATTTTCTTATCCCCCTAATCGTTACCTCTTTCTTTAATTTCTTAAACTGTTCTCTTGTATAACCTCTACGATTATTTTTTTTAATTCAAATAAGACATGTAATCTGCACTTTAATAGGAAATGATGATTTATTTATTTATTTAAAAAAAGAAATGACCGAAACTTTACTCAAGTTTTCGATTAATTAACTTTATCCAATTTACTTTTTATTACAGGAATTCTATTTCGGCACAGTGGATCGGTTTCCAAGATCCACATTCTGATCTCGATCACTTTGAATTCTGTCTCAGTAAGAAAAATTACTCGTGTGATATAACATCATTTGAAAATGTGCTGCTAACGAACCGCATTACAAAATCCGGTGTTAGTTTACCGATTGGAACAAATTTATACGTTATACTGCGTGCATATAACCGAGTTGGGCTGTATACACAACGATTCTCTGAAAAGTTTAGAGTTGATACCTCACCCCCTTTAGAAGTCGAGAAAGCAGGCATTGATAATTCCCAATTTTCATATCGTCATGGCACACAGTACGAACCCTCGATAATAATTGTTCGGTGGAATTTTTCGGAATTAGAAAGTCATATTGAGTCAAATGAAATCATCTTAAAATCACATAGTAGTGGTAGAACTGTTCAGGATCAAATCATATATGGCAATGAAAATAATATGACCATAAAGTTATCCGAGGAAGATAGACTGAGGGATGGTGATGCCTATAGTGTACTTGTATCTTGTTGCAATGCCGCTGGACTTTGCACACAATCAAAGTCTGATTTAGTTTTAGTAGATTCCTCTCCACCCCAAATCGGTGGGTTTAGAAACCCCATGAAGTGGAATAACGTTGGTAATGCTACCTTAATTCAGTTGTTGTGGTATGGATTCACAGATTTTGAAAGTGGGGTAGAACAGTATGGGTTAGCAATAAGTTCTTCATTCACTGGTTCGGAATTATCTGGAGGAATTGTGTACATCAACCATATAGATAAAGAAATCCAAGAATTATCCATAAATTTAACGCAAAAAATCTCGGACAGCGATTCTATAATTTTGTCTGTCTTTGCTATAAACAAAGTGGGGTTGAGAAGCAAAACAGCAAGGGCAACAGTGATTTTATTTTCTGAAACCGTTAATCGCACCAACGGATTTCTTAAAATCCAACGATATCTTTGTCGTTCACATACTTGTAATTTCGATTGCACTTGTTCCGTGTTAGGACAGAAATGTCGATTAAATGGAGATCAGAACGCGTGCATAAAGGCACATAACAACTCTGTGCTAAGATCTGTTTCCTTCGGTCGATTCAATGCGCAAATAGATGTAACGCTGTCGTCTTCTTGTATGTTCTCGTTTTGGACAATATATTCCAAAACATACTTTCAACGCTTTGAGTGGAGTATCGGTGTTCAACACGAAAGTGTTGGCGCGGGTGTATTCAATAAAGACGTCGAAAGTATTTGGAAAGATAATGGAATTTTTAAAAATGTCACGTTCTGTCTTAAAAATGGTCAATCGTTTAAACATGACGAGTACTATGTATTTTATATTCGGGTTTGGTTGTCGGAAAGTGAATATGAAGAAATCATATCAAAACCTGTCCTAGTAGACACAACTCCTCCAGGAATTCGGCGAGGGAAGTCCATGCGGGAATCACGTCAAAGCTGTATTCAGGATGACATCGATTACCTAAATTCAACCCAAGATTTCCTTATATGTTGGAATGGTGTATTTACTGAAAGTGGTGCGAAAATAGAAAAGTACATACTGTCAGGTGGCTCTATTCCTTATGGTAAGTGCATCCAACATAATTAAAAGTCGGTGTTTTTTTGTTTTCTGTAATATGGGCTGTAGTATCAAAATTAATGCTAAACGTCTGAATGTGCATCCTATACAATTTGTTTCATATTTTTCTAATTTTGGTAAAGGATTGCTTTAGAGGTGCAAATTGATTTTAAATAATCAATATCTATAAACATATTCTCTTTTACAGGTAACGACTACATTGATACGATAAATCTTGGTGTATCCACATCTCATTATATTGATGGCAAGACACTGGAGCCTGGGATCAGATACTTTTTTACTGTTACTGCCGTTAACACTCTAGGCATGGAAATCTCTCACGTGTCTGACGGAATTGTAGTTGATCTTGATATTCCTACAGCTGGGGTGCTATACAACACACGATATCACAAAAATAGGGAGTACCAATCAGCAACTAACGAATTAGGCATTTCTTGGCATGGTTTTGATGATATGAACTCTTATATCAGAAATTATAAAATATATTTGTCGGAAAACAATGGAGATGTTGCTTTTACAGAAATTCTTGATGCTGAAATTTCAAATTCCCATATTTTTACTGGGATATCTTTGAAACATAACCATCTTTATCGATTATCTGTAATTGCCTACGACGCTGTTGGTCATTCGGTTGGTCCAATTCATTCCAAATCTATATATATTGACGCTACACCTCCATATGGCTTTGAATGTATACAATACAAAAAAATTCCGTTCGATTTCTCCAAAAAATCGCATTCTGTTTTGTTCGAAGATACACACTTTATTTACTCGGGCGTAGTTAATATCACAAAAAACGACATTTACAAACTATCATTCTCATCTTTCCATCGTATCCCGTCAAGTGCAGTCCACGTTCAAATCGGAAAAGACCGTAAAGAATTACCTCTTCTTACAAATGCAAACGGACAGGTTTCAACTGAATATCTCTTTGTGGCACATCTGTCAGGGCCAGTAAATATCAGTTTGTCAATGACAATGAGTTCTGTGTCTGAAGGACTTTCATTTTCTCTTCATGTATGCAATGAGTCTAGACTTTCGTCTTATCCGTTTAGAATAGCACAGATTTCTCAGACTACTTTGCGATTTTCTATGTTTATCCGAGACTACGAAAGTGGTATCAAGAAAATATTACTTGGCGCTGGTACTACAGATGCAGGGTATCAGATTAGACCACTGCTTCCCTTTCCCACTGGTGTTTATGGCACTGTGCAGATTGACGTTCCGCATAACAGCAGTGTTTACCTTAATGCAATAGTTGAAAATAATGCTGGTTTAAAATCCTTTTTCAAATCAAAACCGCTTGTTATTGATCATACAAAGCCAAACATTTCAGACTTGAAGATTGATATAAAATATAAAGAATACATCACCATAAATGGAACAATTTTGGAAGGAAATATTTCTAATTTATCACTTAATGACACAGATGAAGTGTTGATAAATAAAACTTTTACAACAATGGAGTTAAAATGGATGTCCACCGACGAGGAAAGTGATATTCTTAGTTGTGAATGCGCAGCTGGTGAGTTTCACCTTTTCTTTGATTTCTACCCCGATTTCCAGATATCTTTAAATTTTTTTGAGAAAAAAAAATAAGCAGAGTTTAATTTTCCATAATTAATTTTCAAAAAAAACTATCATTGCTATGAATCACTACCTTCCTTTTCTTTCTAAAAATTCTAGGTAACCTTCCCTTTTCTACAACAACAATCAACTGGAGAGCCAGTGAAACTACTACATCTTGCGTTCTATCAAATCTTGATTTAAAACATGGCACGCGTATTTACGTCAGCGTTCGATGTACGAATGGAGTGGAGCTAAGGAACTCAAAAACACATGGACCAGTGGTCATTTCATACAACCGCCCAGAAAATCTAGCTTCAGAAGTATTCTTTTTACCAAGCAATTATATTTCGATCAAGCATAAAGAATCGGCCTTACCTACGCAATCAAATAAATCACAGATTTGTTTTGGATGGAAGGGGTTTGAAGATGTCTCCGGTGTACTGGAATATGAAACTCAGATAAAGAAGGGACAGTCAATAATTCAAAGATGGAAAAGTGTTGGAGCCAAAACATATACTTCTGTATATATAAACGGCGCTGACGGCGACGTCTACAGAGCTGAAGTAAGGGCGGTAAATGTTGGTGGACTTGCAAGCGAACCCTCTAACAAAACCATCAAGGTAGATGGAAGAGCACCAAAATTATCAGGTAAATAACTTTCTCTCTCTCTCTCTTTATGTAATTTATTATATTGATTTTTGTAAATAAAGACAACTTTTTTAGGTTACAACGTAATTGTGAGGAAAATCTCACGTGAAGAATATATGATTGATTGGAGCAAAGTCTTTGATGAAAGAATTGAAGGATCTATCGCGTTTATTGTGTCCGTCGGCAAAAACAGAGGCTATTCGGATCTGTTGAAACCCACTTATACTTTAAATCATACTATTTCCATTGATACAGACTTCGCTTCTTCAATTTACATCGATATTTTTGGTGTTTCTTCAACGGGAAAATATGCCGCCTACCACAAAATGTATTGGATAAATAAATAGGTATTATCCAAAAACTGGCTGATAATGGTTTATTTTCTTGGTTCAAGAGTATAGTTTTTGATCTTTCCTTCTCTTGTATATGACTATAATGAAGTGTAAATAGTGAAATTAATGTTTCTATACTGTTAGCCACTGCGCAATTGGGAAAAATACGTTATTACATATAAAACCTTTTATGCTGTATACATATACAGTAATAAAAAATTTTCGCAGATTAAATACTTTTTTAAGTATTATAGTATGTACATTAATATTTTGTATTTTCGTATTTCTAAGCTATGTGCATATTGCTATAATACCCTAGTAAAATATCTGCTACTACACATTTGTTTCTTTTATTTATTGTCAAGGAAATTAACCTTAAAAATTGTTAACGTATGCTCAAGGACTAAAGGATTCTTTGTTTTAAGGCGCCACTTTTAGTAGTTTGTTCCTGTACTATTTTATGATACTCGTTTAACCATTATATTACTCATAATTTTCTTCACCAATCAATTAACGATTCAAGACAGCATAACCAAAATATGAATATTGGAATGCATTTTTGGCATTCCAAGGCAACAAAAGGCTGTTTGAGATTATTTGAATTGAAAAAGAAAATCTGATTATACACATAAGTACTCTGGAATTGACATCAACAAGCTGCCGGAGTTTTTGAGTGACAATATCTATTTGGTTTAGGATACCAGGTCTTCCAACAATCTATTGGAATCCCAATGGGTACCAATTGCAAAATCGTTTTGACCACAGAACTTACGAAATGATGACTTTAAACGAGGCTGCTTATATTTTTGCATTACCAACTTGTTTGCCAATCAATTATCTCATTTTAGAACATTCTCTTCCGTTTCGAATCAATTGAGAGATAGTTACTAGGGATGTCAACGAATAATCGACTATTCGACTATCAGTCTAATGGACCGACGATCGAATAATGAAACGACATTCGAATATTAAATAAATGCAAGAAAAGGTGATGATACAGAAATTCTTATATCAGAGGTGAAAAAAGCGTCACTCCTCAAACCATTATAGTATACGTTCTCAGACGTATAACAGCTCAAACGCCTCCACAGTATATAAATAATTTTCCACTTTGTACTTAAGAGAAGTGTACAGTAAGTAAATTAATTACATACTGCGATAATTATTTCTCAATCACTGACCTTTTTGTTAATGTAGTTAATTATGCAGCTCTTAACTTGATTTTGAAAATTATTAATTGGACTTGTACCAATTATAAATTCATTATTACCTCTAAGAATGTTCAAATGCTACGAACACTCTATAGCTGTAGAGTATTCGATAATCATTAAGGATATCAGATCCTCAGCCAGGAAGGATAACTCCAAAAATTAATATTTAACTTGAAATGCATCAAAATGAGGCTTGAAAATGAAATTTTTTCATGCAACAATTTTCATTTTATCCATCTTTATGAGATTCAAGGGTTTTGAAGACACCACAAATCACCTTTTATTTCACATCATACTAATAAGCATTGGTATCTAAGGCCGGATTCAATAAAATTTTATTTCTCTAACACTGTATTAATTTTTTTCCCCTTTCATAGGGTACAAATGTCAACTTTTATAAAACCTTTTCTAAGACTTTCAAAGACCTTGAATCTTATAAAGAGGAATAAAATGAAAATTGCTGCATGAAAAAATTTCATTTTCAAACTTTGTTTTGATGCATTTCAAATTAAATATTAATATTTGGAGTTATCCTTCCTGGCTGAAGATCGGATATCCTTAACCTAAAATGTATTTGTTGATCAATTTACAATTCGAAAATGCATTGATGATATTCCAATTTGCTTTTTCTGCAAAAATATTGGAGGTTTGACAATTTTCCCTATATAATATGATAAACTTTAATCTTTAACTTTAAAGAAATACTGTGAATAAATTTACATAACTTCATGGATTCAGAGATACTTTAATGAATATTTTTGATTACTTAGCTGCTAATTTTATAAACCTGAAGATCGGACTACCTTAAACATAACTTCATGGATTCAGAGATACTTTAATGAGTATTTTTGATTACTTAACTGCTAATTTTATAAACCTGAAGATCGGACTACCTTAAACATGGCTTTTTTGTTCTTGGGAAAAACAATCCTTGATATTTGTAGGTAAAATTTTGTTCCCCAATTGTGTCCCACGCTACCCACCCACACTACTTCCCGTTCATGATTTGAACAAATTTGAATCAACACTACCTGAGGATGCTTCCATAAAGATATGACCAATAATGGCTTTGTGGTTCTTAAAAAGAAAAGTTTTAAAATAAGTTCCGATGTATTCATTCCTATGTAAAACTTTAATAGTCCACTGTGGCCCCGTCCTACCCCCAAGGGTCATTTGTGATTGGAACAAACTTGAATCTACACTACCTGGGGATGTTTTCAGGTAAGTTTCATCTTTCCTGGCCCAGTGGTTCTTGAGAAGAACATTTTTAAAAAAAATTCCTATATATTCCTATGTAAAACTTTGATCGTCAATTTTAGCCCCGCCCTACCCCCAGGGGTCATGATTTGAACAAACTTGAATCTAAACTACATGAGGATGTTATCACATAAGTTTCATCTTTTCTGGTCCAGTGGTTCTTTATAAAAAGATTTTTAAAGCCTTTTCATATATATTCCTATGTAAAAGTTTGATCGTAAATTGTGGCCCCGTTCTACCCCCTAGGGGTTATGATTTGAACAAACTTGAATTTACACTACCTGAGGATGTTTCCATATAATTTTCATCTTTCCTGGCCCAGTGGTTCTTGAGAAGAACATTTTCAAAGATTTTATCTATATATTCCTATGTAAAACTTTGATCGTCAGCTTTGGCCCATCCCTGATCCAGTGATTCTTGAGAAGAAGATTTTAAAAGATTTTTCTTATATATTACTAATAGATGTAAAACTTCGATCGTCAATTGTGGTCCCGCCCTATCCCGGGGGTCATGAGGATATTTCCATATAACTTATATCTTTACTGGTCTAGTGGATCTTGAGGAGATTTTAAATATTTTTCCTCTATATATTCCTATGTAAAAATTTAGAATAGGCTGTGGCCCTTCATTTGAACAAAATTGAATCCCCTTCTCCCGAAGATACTTTGGCAAGTTTGATTGAAATTGGCCCAGTGGTTCTTGAGAAGTCAAAAATGTGAAAAATTTTCAGAGAGACAGACGGACGCCGGACAAAATATGATCAGAAAAGCTCACTTGAGCCTTCGGCTCGTAAATTTACTTACATTGTCATTGGTCATTTGCAGAATTATTTTGTTAAAAAAAACATTCTGGTTGTACAGACAAATACTCTGAAGTTGACATCAAAATATGCTTGAGTTTGCTATTGACAATATCTTCGTGTTTTTGGAGACCATGTCTTCCAACTTTTTACAGGAGTTCCCATGGGTACCAATTGCACAACGTTGTAAGCAGACCTATTTTAGTATTCATATAAAGCAGCATTCGTGCAAAATTTAATGTGCGAAAAGAAGAAAACATTTGATGTGGCCTTCAAATCGACATTTCGATATATCAACGACGCACAGTCAATTAACAATTATTGGTAATATCCATCCCTATGTCGAAACGATATATCCTGGTGAGCTTGAGATAAAGGATACCACAAAGTCTGACAAATCTGTTTCATATTTGAATATTTTCTTTGAAAAAAAAAACGCTAACAACCAAGCTCTGTGGTAAACGTGATGACTTTAACTTTTTTATTGTCAACCTTCCTTTCTAATGCGGCAATATACCTTATTCACCTGCAAATGGAGTGTATATACATGTCTTTCAGTTGATTTGATATGCAAGAGCATTTTCAACGTATGAACAATTTCTAAAACGAGGTAAATTATTGACAAACAAGTTCATGAAACAAAAATGTCATTAGTCTCGTTTTAAAGTCAGCATTTCGAAAGTTCTATGGTCGATACAATGACCTTATCAGGAAATACAATTTATCATTCAGTCAAATGCTGACAGACGTTTTCATTCTGATTGTTAGTCCATTATTTATACACTGAATTGAGACGACGGATTTATGGCACCTAATCCAACTTCTGATATTTTGAAGGTTCGTGTTTACTCTGCTCCTATTTTAAATTGTATTGTTTTATTGACATTTGATCTTGTTCTTTATCTCTATGTGTTTTAACCCTATCTCTGGTACATGTAAAACAATTTGAAATTAAGATAAATATTTATCTATTTACCTAAATATCTATTCAAACAAAGTATGTCTCACAGTAAAATAAAACACAGATAAAAATATCTTAGCACACTTTGACTGATTATTTTTAATATCACAGATTAATATAATATTCAACTGTTCCATTCAATACATTCACACTGACATTCCTTTCACATTTTTTTTTTACAACTTAATCTCAAGCATCTCCACTGAACAAATCACCAAAGAAGTACACCGCTTTTAAAACAAAATGGCGTAATCCTTAGAAATCCCGCCATGGATCACGTGATGTATGATGACGTTGAGTATCTAACGGCGCGGTATCTTCTCTGCCTCCTTTTACGAGATCTCCAGTATCCCCACACACCTAGAACAACTCCAACGAAAACGATAATACCCCCCACAATTATACCAGTCTTCAACAGAGTGGGGAAAGGGTTAAAATGCTTCACTGATGTTGGTAGAGTAGTTACACCTTAAATTAAAAAAAAAAGAATATTAACGTTTACTTAGTCATGTAGTAAATGCCCGAAATTTCAATGATATTTTTTTTAATATTTTAAAGGAATAAATGCTAACATAAACCCATTGATCAGCAAGGGTAACTACATGTACCAATTTATTAACCATTTAATTTTTGGGGCAATATTATTTGTGATACGTTCTCAAGTTTTGTCTTTATATTGCTTAAGGTAGTCCGATCCTCAGGTTTATAAAATTAGCCTTTTATAAAAATATCTCTGAAACAAAGTTATGTAAATTTCATCACAGTTTTGTTAAAGTTTAAGTTTTAAGTTAATCATATTATATAGTGTATACAGAAAAAGCGAATTGGAATATTAGAAATGTACATGTGTGTTTTCTAATTGCAAATTGATCAACAAATATATTTTAGATTAAAAAGCAATGGGTATCCAGGCATTCAGAGAAATTGCCATAATTTTTATACGTATTTCGTATTTTCTGTCTTCTATTTCCGTCACGTATTCTATAATACATAGTGCAAAAGGCTTTTGCTATCATTGCAAGACACCACAAATCACTTCTCCTTTCATATCAAGCTAATAAGCATTGGTATCGGAATATCATGAAAATCTTATAAGAAATGTAAACATAGAAAGTTCTCAGTGGCTTCAATATAAGCGAAATTTCAATATATCCGATTTCAATATAACCGTTATTTTAATGCAAAGAATATGAGAGGCAAAAACTGGGGATTTATTTCTATTTCAAAATAAGCGGAATTTCAAAATAAGCGAGTTCAATATAAGTGGAGTAAGCTGTATTTTTTTTTTATTGCAAAAGAGTTTCCATACATTGTCAAAGTCGTCGGCTGTAAATAACAGCGCTAATTCACACAAAAGTCCATTGTTTAAAATTTATGGCCACGGTTAAAAAAATTAAAAGCGGGTCAAACTCAGTCTATAGCTAAGGTCAAATAATTTATACCCCCATAGAGAGCTCTTCGTACAATAAGTATACTTGTGAAATACCGTATATACTCGTCTATAAGTCGGATTTTTGGGAGTTCATTTCTGGTTCAAAACTCTATGTCCGAGTTATAGGCAATAAAATGTATTATATGAGGTCTTATGATGCTTATTAAATACAACCGACTTATAGGCGGACCGACTTATAGGCGAGTATATACGGTAAGTATTTGAACTTTGGAACTAGCATCAACTGTTCATAAGTTATGGCGAAAGTTAAAGTTTCGTAAAATTTTCAAAGTGGATCCAAATCCCAAGTCAAGGTCAAGTGGTCAGGTAAAATATGTTTGTACCGAAGGAAAGGTCTTTCAAGACACAGAGACACATTTGAAATAGAAAGGTGTACCTATATACAATCAAAAGTTATGGGCAAGGTTTAAATTTTTGTGGATAAACAGACATGCAGACGGTTAAACAAACAAGGCAAAACTCACTATCCGGGATAAATAGATAAATATAAATATGAACTTTTAATACTGAAGACGAATTTTTCCCGACGAAATTACATTGTATAACAATGAGACATTTAGTTCGAACACGATATTGTCCAGGCTTTTTACTAACCATTTCTAATTGTTATGCCCAAAAAAAGTTTATGGCACTTGATGGAATGTCTTAGCAATATCACATGGTTTGTTGTTGAACTCAAAAACCTGTCTATTTTAAAAGATAATAAGTCGCAACAGTCAGAATTCCAGAATTTTTAGTCCCATCAACTATCCCATCTTTCTTTATCCAATGGAAAAAAGTGTCAAATGGGATATTTTCTCCCCTTTGGGAAATTTTCTTCCACAAATTTGTTCAAATGGGATACATCCCACAGTTACTGACAATGAGTCATTTTTTCCCTACATTGTTAAACATGGGATATACCCTATTGATTATGATAATGTCTCATTCATCATAATCTAAATAAATGTAAAATAGTAATATAATGTAGTATAATATAGATCTTCATATCTTTAAAAAACAAGACATGTTGTGAGTTCAGCATGAGACCCTGTGGTACTGGTAAGAAATCCCACATAGTACTTTAAACAATTTTTGGACATCACACTTGATTGGTAGTAAAAAAAAAAGTGTGGACAATGTCGTGTCCAGTGTTAAATGTCGCACTATTGTATGATATCGGCCGAATCTGGTTCCTTATTTGATGTAAAAATCAGAACACAGTTTAAACTGTGGTATTTTGTAGTTAAACACTTAAAATGATGCTCGTTTTAAAACGGTAAAACCAGCACTAATTTTGATTTAATGCTTACAAGGAGGCCATAATCTCACAAGATTGTGCAGAGGTGTGACGATTTCCTTAAATTCCTCATTTCTGGTGGAATTTCGTCGTATTTGAGATAATTTTCACTTCGGGAAACAGAACACGGGCTGGCCCTTCTGAGATTTTTATATACAAGATGCAAGGATCTGATGCTAGTGTATGAAATATATAAATTTGGTAGATGGTCAAGTCTGTGCTCTATGTTTCCTGAAACAAATGTGCTGTAAAATCGATGAAAATTTGCATAAAAGTGAGAAATTTCGGAAATTCACATAAATATCTTCTGACCTTTCTGTGACCACTTTGTATCCCATAATTTAGAACTCATGCTCATTTTATGGCAGGGGTGACAACAATTCTTTTTATAAAATGTTTCATCACTTTAAAAGACACCCCGAACCACGAGCCAGACAGAGGTCTTAGCCTATCTTGTCTTTTGCCATTGCAGAGTGTACATGGAAGGCACATGATGGTGGTTCGAAAATCTACTTAATTTTCTACCCGAGGATTGGACAGAAATCGTGATTCCGCGGTATTTGAAATCCAATAGAAAAAGTACATTTACACCTATGTTTGTATTAATTTTGATCCAGCATACGACAGGGGTTCAAAGTAAAAAATGTTGTACCGACTTTTGTCCATTGTGGTAGATTTCGTTTGAGTACCGTTATTACCGGCAAACATTTAGGGCCTAAACTTGCCTGTCTGAGATTTTCACATTGCAATATACTAGTATATTTCATATTAAACTTGAAATACATAGAATTAGTAGACAGACATCTTGCGCTCTGATTTGAGAAAATTTCCAAAACCTGGTACCATAAAGGAGTATTCCATCTTTTAAAATAAATCTCTAACCATACACCTCCACCTCACCCCCAACTATTGTTAGTATACTATTTACCAATGTGAAAGAAAATATTACAAAAATGCACTAACTTTCAGTGGTAAATTTCACTTCCGGTGTATTGCTGCTACTGCAGCCATATTTATTACAGGCTCTTATTCTGAAGTGATATTCCTTGCTGTGTTTCAGTGGTATCGTCACCCTCGTCTTGCTGTCTGCTTCTATTTGGTAGACCTCTACCCAGATTTCTGAGTCTACATCTTTCTGGTCTAGTTCAAAGTACTGGGGGATTTTCCAGCCGTAGCCGGCCTCCCATGTGAACGTCGCCTCCACTGTTCCGTTTATTACGGAGGAGAAAGCTTTGAATTTGTAGGCCGGGCGCGGAGAACCTGAAATGATTGACTGATGAGGATTGTTGCTGACTAGCTCTTTGTTACCCATATCTTTATAATGATGAAAATTTTAAGAGCGATGAAGATTTTAAAACAAATTTATAGAGTAGAATATTTTCAGTCTAGAAGATGATTCGACCGAACAACTCATGTTGATGGAAAGTGACATATCTAGTTTTTTATGCTTTCTGTAAGATGTTAAACACGTCTTCAGCTTCCAGGGCCCGCTGATTACAGAGATAAGTCTTACTCTTATAAATGATTTTTTTTTTTTTTAATTCATCAAAAGTAAAATATTATTATTAATTAAGATGATGAATTATAGTATATTTTTATAGTTAAAACATCATAAAACAAATTTAAAATCTAACACATCCGGTAAGGGGGTAACAACTCACAATGGACGACATCGGGGTTGACCTGGATACTGATCAGATCCTCCATATCTTTGACTTGACTCAGTATCACTGTGGGGCCTTCACCTCCAGAGATTGGAATCTTTTCAATGTTATTGTTCCACCAGTCAGTCCAGTAGATAAAATTACCTAGAAATAGTAAAATTACCTAATGAAAAGTAAAAATACTGGAATGTTACCATGAGAAATGAAGTAATTCAAACAGCAAATTCACCTAAACAATAAAACGTCATTCAAAAAGGTAAAGATGGTACGTGTACGGTACAATGTATAGGGAGTGTAGAAAATGTTTCGGTCAGTCTTACCCATTAATATTTGTTTAGTTCAATTAGGCTAGCATAAAAAATAAAATTGCTTATGACAAGAGAATAGATTCTCAAGAATAGTGGACATTTTAATGTCATAGAAATCTAAACTAAAAAGTTAGAGTGTTTTTTTTTTTGGTGAGCAATTTCAGTTTATAACAGTTTAGTCAGCTCCTTCTGGTATATAGTTAGTTATTTTAAAGACAACTTTATTTCCATTGAATTTTTCAATGTTAATGTAAGCCTTGCTTGGTAGCAAACTTTTCCTGAACATATCTGTGGTGATTAATGACTAAAGCTATGAATATCACAACATACAGAATGCAAAATACCTTCAATAAACATCCCTGTAATATGAGGAATCTCTGACTTAAGCACCCTCATGTTGGACCCATCCATTCTGGCCATGTAAAGCTGTTTGCTGTTTTTGTCGTTCCAGTACAAGGCCTGAAAGAGGGTGTCCAGCTCTAGAATAGAGGGATACTGGTCCGAGAGGTCAACCAACGTCCTCCGACCTTTACCACTCAATGAACAGCTCTCTATCTTAGGCTTAATTCCACCGTCCAGCCAGTAAACAAAACTGTAAATAACCAACAATCAAATAACAAAAAATGTAAATAAGTAAAATTACCAATCAAAATACACAAAGGTGTAAATAACCAATCAAATAACCCAAGATTATAACCAATCAAATAACACAAAACTGTAAATAACCAATCAAATAGCGAAAAATGTAAATTAGTAAAATTACCAATCAAAATACACAAAGCTGAAAATAACCAATGTAATAACCCCAATCTATAAATAACCAATCAAATTACACAAGACTATAACCAATCAAATAACACAAAACTGTATTTAAAAAATCAAATACCAAAGAAATGTAAATTACTAATCAAATATCAAAAAAGTAAATAACCAATCAAATAACACAGAACTGTAAATAACCAATTAAAATAAAAAAAAATAAATAAATAACCAATCAAATAAGACAAAGTAAAATTTTAACCAATCAAATTACACAATAATGCTTTTCAAAATGTTGTTTGAGTTAACTAGTGACTCTATAGTTGGTTAATTGTGCTGATTCACAGAAACTTGAAAAATATAATTGGAAAAGGCCTGATTTTTTGTTTTCTTCAAAAGGTACTCTTTCTTTACTGGAATTAACTTCATAAAATGATTAAAGTATAAACGTTTCAGTGGAGCCTAAAGGAAATAATTCAGTAAGCAGTTTCTTCAACTGTATTCAGATAGATCTGTGAACTGTACACATGCTAAAATACGTATGCACATGACAAATCTTTGTGCTTTTCCAGAGCACTTCAAAATAAAGGAAGTATGATCATTGTTACCGCTGCCCCGGGATACCTACCCGGCACTGGCGTCCACCTCTACGTCTATGGGTGACCCCATGTCGTACTCCGCTATGACGGTCCGGTTTGACCCGTCCAGATTGACCCGCTCTATCAGGTCACTAGCAGAGTTAGTCCAGTACACGGTCCGCCGGATGTGGTCCACAGCAATACTGACAAAGGCCGCCTTCACGTGCTTGATGAAGATGTTGGTAACAACAGTCTCCTGCTCTGAAAATGTCGACATTTTTTAATGAAGCGCTAAGTAAACTAGATTTTATGTCTACGATCCAGTTGACCTTTTCAAAAAAACATATTGAAATAAACGACTGATCTTAAGATTTTTGTATAAAAAGAAAAATTGTAAGTTTGTTTTATACAAAAAAAATTGTTGATATCCAACATGAGGGTGTTTTCTTTGCAGTGGATATCTTGTCATATTCTCCTGTCTTTATCGTCATATCATCATCGTTATTAACATTATGATCATTATTAACATCATCATTATAAACGTTGTCATCGTCATCTTTTATTTTGTTCCTTATTCAATCTTTCTGATTTTGAAGAATACTTTTTGTACATGCATTAGATATCTGTTGCCAACTAAGAGTCAGACCTTCAGCACACAATGTGGCCCTGGATATTGATCCGCCGTGATGAACGTCTGACCAGTAGATTACATTGTCCACGGGGTCAAAGTCCACGTACTTGACCTCGGTCATGTTAACCAGGGGCATGATGTGGTGCTCCTTGGTGTTCTGATTAACCCAGTGGATGTGGGTCCTGTTGGCGAACACCATCACGCGCTCTGCAATCAGAAGACCGGAAATGAGCAAATTACGCCATTTTTCTTAGTTTCAAACACAATCTGATTGAAATTCGGATCTTCGATCCCTTCCTAGCTTTGTTATACGTTGTATGTTAAGATCTGAAGATGAAGAACAAAATACGGGGAGAATCTTGTAAAGTATTACTGATATTAAATGCCAAGGGAAGGGTGAAAAGAGGAGCGGATCGTCACCCTTGGCAGGCGAATATGGTGATAAACTATATTGCAGAATTGTTTCAGACAGAAATCCTCAGCAATAGTTAGAGGTGTATTTAATATAAATTGGAAAATTCTAAATTTTAAATTTCTATACTCCCATTAGTATATATTTTATGTTCGTGTTCTACGTAGAGGTTGTATATATTAAGGCAGTTACCAATAAATGATAATCTACTGAGTGATAAAACAGAAATTGCAATATTTTTCAATTTTCTTTTCGATATATTCCTTACTAGCCGCCTATAACCTATAATGAAAATAAACATAGCCGTTTTTTTTATTGTATAACAAAAGTTTATGGTCAATATGTATTTCAAAATCTGTCAAACGTTGTAGATGTTAGGTTAAGACAGTTTGAATAGAAAAATACACCGGTATCAGTCTTTCGGGTTTGTAATTTCACACAATGCACTGAAAGTAAAGGTCAAATACAAAACTCTCTCCTTTTATTCTATAGAACTCAGCGTGTATCTTAAACATTTCACAAGGTCGTTCAATGACAAACGAAAAAAAGAGTTATAAATGAAAAAAAGTCTTCTACGACAAATTTTATAATAGGAAAACTCGGCAATACCAGTGAATTTTCAAAAGAAAAAAGAAGAAAAAATAAATTTAAGAATTATATATTATTTGTCAATTAAATCTTTGACTATTTAATTTTAAATCGTAAATATATAAATCATTAATTAGATACTACAATGAATATTTGAATTCTTGTATCAAAGGGATTTAAGGTCGATTTAAATATGCTTTAATAATGTACATAAAGTCACATAAATGTGACTTTACAAATTAGTTCATTTATTTAACTCGTACACAGCAATGTATATCGATTATAATCAATAAAACATATACAGCTTAAATCATACAGAACGATGCATATAGCATTGTGTTTGTGTACTGAAAATCATCTAATAATAAATCATAGAAAATAAAAACACAATTGAATAATATACAGTGATTAGAATTGCGATGTTTGATCCTTAATCATTTCTATTTATATTTGTTTCTTTCTTTCTAAAATTTATCCATTTTTTCAATCTTACATTTGACAGATCCTGAAAATCACATACCTTCATTTTCTTTGCCTTTCAGACAGACAAACAGACATGGTATAATGATGAGGATTGTCAGTCTGTTTGTGATTATCGCCATATTCACCGACCGATCATCTACATCCCAGAACCAGGATTCTCTTCCTCGGGTCAGTCAGGTGTGAAAAATCACTCAACTTTAACGAGTGTCCTCAATATATATACAGTGTATGGCAAAATGAATAAACGTATGTATTCTTTAAGTGTTACGATACGCTTTCAATAAATTTAATAGTAGGGCTAGTGTAAACAAAGAATAACGTAAATGAAAATTTCGATTAAAATATATCGATTAACATAAAGGAAGATATCATGGATTCTTGATTTTTAAACGCATGTGCAATTTTTAAGTTAATATTTAAATTTTATTGATATCTTTTTAAAAACTAATCTCGATTGAAGTTAACTTAATAATTAACTTACCCTGTGTTTTATGCATCAATAAAAAACCGGTATTGAGTATAAATACATAATTTCTTCCACACAGTGAAAAAATCTGCACATTTCCGTTATGTTAATTCGTGCACAAGTTCTCAAATTCAAATACTTTGTTTCAAGTTTCTGCTGTCGTAAATATACCCGTAATACTGGCGTGGTTATCCATGTGCATATTGTAAATATCTAAATCTCCACTGTGTGTCTTTTTAAACTTGTATGTAGGAGGTCTCTGATTCATAAACAGTCACCTGTATAAAAACTGGTTCAACAAAAGGGCGTATATATTTTTATTTTGATTTATTCTTATTACTGCCCCAGTATCTACACGTGTGTGTGTGTGTGAGAGAGAGAGGGGGGGGAGAGAAAAGGAGAGGGAGAAGAGAATTAGAGAGGGGGAGAGAAGAGAGAGAGAGAAAGGAGAGATAGGGTGAGTTCCATTTCAGTAGATACATTTAACAAGCAACCTCCTCCTACTCCATCCCACCCCAGTGACTATTAAGTGAATTCCATCCAATTATTCGTCCCTAAACAGCGCTAGGAGTATGGATCCTTCTAATTTCTTAAAAAAAAACTCAAGTCTCGTTTTGACTGATTACATAAAAGATCTTTTTTGAAGCAATTGAAAACAAGATAATTAAAAGAGCTTATAGAGACTAATTGAATCATTCATTACTACGAGTGTGGGATAGTGAAATTCCACCGAGGGGACAAGATTCACGGTCTAGGACGAGGCTTTGCCCAGTCCTAGACCGTGAATCTTGGCCCCGAGGTGGAATTTCACTATTCCCACACGAGTATGTAATGAATGATTATTTTTCTCGCATTATTTCCAAAATAACGGCCTGTCAATGACGTCGCCATGATAGGACAAAAAAATATTTTAAAAAAATTCTTTTAATTTTCCATCTAATTAAAAATCTAAATACACCATCGGAAAGAGCGTACCCGAAAATGGTTTACACAAAGTGTAAACTGATAAAATGAATTTCAGTCCATGTAAATTAATTAGATAGATAAAAACTGGGAATAATAAAAAAAAACTTATCTATCCAATACCGTACACTTTCATTCAAGAAGAACCCTCCGCGATATAAAAATAGTGCCATTTAAAAAGTGAAAAATATGACAATATTTTGAATGAAAATAAGTTTATCTTAATAAATCAAATGACAACATTTTAAGTATATGTAATATTTTTTAACATTGTTACAATTTCTTTATATAAAGACGGAATGTTTACGTTATCGTTCGCGGCGTAGTAATACACAGTGTGAGACAGAAAAATCTCACACCGGACAAGTCAATCTTACACTGGTGATTATGCGAGAAAAGAGTTTATATTACGGATAACATGTGCATGTAATGCAATGGAATGTTTTTCCCTGATTCAAAAAGAAAAATATGGGAAAAAGGTGGAGGTTCCATAGTATTGTTATTCCTGATCGCGATGGGTGGTGGGTCCAACAGTACCAGGTCCAGTCCAAAGACTATTTCTACCTACGTAGGTATTTATAGCTACCGAGGTATTTAAAGCTACCAAAAGTAGCTATTTTTACCTACTTTCTGCTTTACTTGCATTTTGTGGCCAAATGCAGGAACGGCGCAACATGATGAGCACAATATTTCTTGATACAGTCACACTGATGATGAATATGACTAAAATTTGGCCAAAAAATAAAAACTTCGTATATTATCAATTTTGCATAGAAACTAATGTAAAATTGCCGATTCAGGAAGTAATCATTTTTTGGCCAAATTTTTTTCGTATTCATCATTAATGTGACCGTATCAAAAAAATATGGTATTCACCATATTGCGCCGTTTAGTCCTTTAGTCGCAAAATGCAGAAATTATATAAAGTAGGTAAAAATAGCTACTTTTGGTAGCTTTAAATACCTAGGTAGCTATTAATAGCTACGTAGGTAGAAATAGTCTTTGGACTGGACCTGAGTACTGTGATTTCTGGAAAGGGTTAGATGGGTAGTAGTATTTCGATTCTTGAAAGGGATGGAGCAAATTATTTTTATTCTGAATGGTGTGGGTGGTTGGTTATGGGGTCCCAAGTACTGTGATTCCTGAGGGGTGGGGGTGGGGAGGGGCAGTTCTGATTTATGCATGGCGTGGTGGATGGGTGGATCCACAAGTACTCTGATTTCTGTATAGTGGGTGGTGGTCACAAGTTCTGTGATTCCTAAATGAGGTCCTACATTGTGCCAGGTAGACAAACAGGCAAAAGAAAAGACACATCAAAATTCCCTCCTTCTTCAAACTCCAAACCCAGAGGTGCACATATACACACCTGCTCAATTTTCTTAACCTAGAGGAAATGAAGAGCAAATAGACAAAAAAATATTTCAATTTTTTTCTTAACAATAATAACATTCAGCAGTATGAAAGTTTTAACATCATTTATTTACAAAATAACTATAAATATTAGGATGTTTAAATATTTACATAACATCACAGTCTTTTAGATTAAAGAAACACGTATAAACAGTGTAACAGTAACAATGAAAATTTTACATGTACAGGTATGATGAATAAAGATGCTGATTATGAAAAATATATACATATAATCATAATTTAAACATGATGTAAAAGTTAACAAAAAAAATCAACGAGTCTTAAAATAATTCCTTAAATTTTATTTTTAAAAAGAAAGAAATGAATCAAATTTTTCAGTTCAACTAACCATATTGAAATTGGTCAATTCAGAAGAAATATCCAAGTAGTTGTGCATGTTCAATAATCATAAAAACATGGCCCTTAAAACCAAATAAAACTTTGGTTCTGTATTAAATCATCACTCTGAATTTCACTTATTAACAATGTTCAATGGACAACAAGTCATTATTTTCAATAACTAGGAATGGAAAACTCTATCTATTCTCCTTGCTCTCTATCAGAATATGTGAAACTGAAACACATTTTACACAGAGGATTCCTACAAGAAGGTGAGAGAAGATTTAGGATGACGCGGGTCTCTCTACAGTTACTGCCCTTCAGTGAGGTGTTCTGTTTACAATCCTCCCCACGTGTACCCCCCTCCACTTCCTGAGAACCAGCCTGCCTTCTGTTGCTGGGCCACAACTGGCCGACCCTGCATCACGGCCTGCTGGGCTGATGTAGGCATGCACCCGGGGGGTGGGGGCTGAAATACAACACAGACGCTTATTATATAACAATCAAACCTGAAAACTGGTTACTCACTCATCTATACCACCTTAACTGAATTTTTTTATTTATCACATACATGAACAGGATTTTTTTCAGATTTTTTTGGATTAAGGGTCAAAACAATTCAAAGTTTCACTTGCAATCTTCAGTAAATTTGATTACCACTTATATATAGTTGAAATTTTGCTGATATGGCTTAAAAATTTAATCAATCAACAAATCTTATAAAAATGGTGACTGTTTCTCTTACAGGTATTCTTGGTTGGGAAACGCCATCAAATCTTGCTCCTGAGTCGAAGGAAGCCATGGCGACCTGTCCGTTACTGACCATGCCACCAGGCGCTGCAAACTGTACATTCTGTGCTTGGGGATATGCCTGGTACCCTGCCGGCATCTGGTACTGAAATATTGAGATGACACTTTCATTGTTAATAAATCATGAGTTTTTTACTGGATATCACATTTTAAGTTCTGAGACGATCCCTGACAAAAATTTACCTGCTGTGGGGGAGGTTGGTAGCTGTAGGGGGGAGGGGCTTCATTGGGGGAACCATACATAGGTGGTGCAGATGCTGCAAAATAAAATGAATCATATTATTTCACTGACAGTTCAGATGTATGAGAAGATAAAAAATTGAGTGAGAATATTAGAGACAGTTACATAACCAATCAGTATCTTGTAGCAGTAGAAGATGACCTATTCCAATTTTGAATACTTACGTTGCCATGGTTGGGTCTGGGGGTAGGCGAACTGAATGTTGTTTTCTTGCACCGGGTAAGGGCGAGATTGAGTTGGATATCCTTTTCCTGATAAATATAAAATCTGACATTGAATTTTATCTGTAAATATCTTCAGCCGATTTTACTCGTTGCATACACTATAGCTTTTACTACACTGACTTCTTTTTAATTGTTATTAATACCAGAATGTTTTATGAACTGTAAATAGGCCTAGATCGTTGTTTTCTTTGGGGCAAGTGTACGTAGTGACCAATCTCGACATTACACCAGAAGGTGGCTTGTGATTTATAGAAGACTGAATGAATGAGGAAACAGATGACTCGTAGCTTTTTCTAGCTGTTAGATCGTTTAAAAATGGTTTATTGTGTTTTCTACTTTACTAACGTTATATCTTAATTATAGCTTACCTGACATTGTTCTTCCTAATAATGGCTTCGCTGTCGTTGTTTCGTCTATAAATACTCTTTGTTTACAAAGGTTCGTCTTGCGAAATAAGACGACCAATGAAAACCTTCTTTCCGGATAAAACCGGATAAAAGAAATCGGTTGGGTCATTCAAATTTCAACGAAAAAATGTAACATTAACTTTAATTACTGACGATTAAATTTATTTAGATATGCTTTACGATCATAATTTGAAAATAATTTCTGATATTAACATATCGTTTGATATTTTATGAAAATCGTTTTTATTCGATTTTTCATTTTCTCGTCGTTCAGATATTGGTCAATAATCAGGACACAAGACCATCTGACGTCATTGTCACATGAGATTGAATATGTAGAAATTTAATCCTGTTGAATATTGTATGTATACAATGTACCTGAACCTGTTTGGATTTTTTTTTCGTTGGTAAAATTCAGATTTTGCCCTGTACATTTGAAAATCTTTTTTTTTCGCTTTGCCCATAACTTTTGATTGACTACATGCTTTCATATGCAACATGTGTATTTCTTGTGTCATGTGACAAGATCTTTCTTTTGGCATGTTTGGGTACCAATATGTTTCACCTCTGCACCTCGACTTTGGAGTTTGACCCACATTTGAATTTTTTCAAAAAATTATCAAACTTTTATAACATATGTATAATGAAACATAACGTTATGGAGATAACGAACAGTATTCAAGATCAAAACAGGAGAAAAGCAAACAAGGACCTCAAAATAAAATTGGAGGTGGGATCAGGTGCCATGGAGGATTGAGCATCCCCTGCCGACCGGTCACATACGCCGTGTGCTCCTTGTCATGATCGGGGAATAATGGAAAAATCCGTCGTCAATTCAGCTGCAGTGTATATAATGGACTAACAATTAGTATGAAAAACGAGTCAAAAAAATGAGTCAGCGTTAATTTTGACTCAATGACAAATTGCATTTGCTGACAAGGTCATTGTATCGACCATAGAACTTACGAAATGATGACTTTAAACGAGACTGCTGATATTCTTGTTTCATCAACTTGTTTGTCATTAATTTACCTCTTTTTAGAAATTGTTCATACGTACAGCATGCTCTTGCGTATCGAATCAACTGAGATAAACTCCGTATGCAGGTGATGAAGGTACCGGTATATTGCTGCATAAGTAAGGGAAGTTGACGATCGAAAAGTTAAAGTCATCACGTTTTTCATAGAGCTTGGTTGTTAGATTACCATAAACGTCTTTTTCAAGTAAAATATCCAAATATGAAATACATATGTCAGACTCTGTGGTATCTTTTATCTCGACTTTCTATCTCGTAATAACGACTTTTTATCTCGTAATAACGACTTTATTAAGTCGTAACGACTTTTTATCTCGTTATCACGACTTTTTATCTCGTAATAACGACTTTCTTAAGTCGTAATTACGACTTTTTATCTCGTTATTACGACTTTTTTTAGTAAGATTATTTTCAATAGTTTGCTATTTTTGACGTTTCCGTATTACGGAAACTTATGAACACCTCGTGAAGTTGATTTATACATCAAACTGACAAAAGAAAATGAGTATCATCTGCTTATCAGGCACGTTGTAGGGTGGAGGTGGAGGCTTCCCCAATATTTTCTCAAACATAACTTTCCTGCTGATGAAAAAGTTCATTGCCGCCCCCCAACACTTTTTGTTGCAATATAGCCAAATAAGGGTGATGTGGTAGTTTAATTTAAATCTGGTACGGAAAGAAGTTGCCAATATATGGTAATTTGGTTATATATAGCATAGACTTTCACGTTGATATTTTGAAAGTTTTTGTCTGTGAACGAGGAATGTAAAAGTACATTTGAACAGCAATTTAAACCCCTTTTTTGCAAAGAAATTCATAATGTAGTCTACATAGGCATTGATAATTGGGGCTTATTGAGTAGCCCCCAAACATTTTTTGTTGGTTTAGCCCCCCCCCCCTTTAAGTTTGCTTTATACACGCGTTTATCTATCATATATAATATATTGAAATGATTTCTGCGATGTGCAGCACTAATGTCTTCAATTTAGCGGCATAATGATTTAGATTATAAGTGTGTAAACAAAACAAGTCCAAATATAGTCAATAATTACAGATTATAATAAATATAAATAAATTGTCAAACTCTGGTGCAACTGTTTTGACAATTTTATAACTAAACAATCATCGCGTTTCAGCTGCACGACACCGTTATACCGGGCAGGTTTCCGTTTTATCTCCTAGAAGGCTCAAGTTAAAAAAAATGTTTCAAATGGAAAAAAAAATAAATAAAAAGTCGTTATTACGATTTAAGAAAGTCGTAATAACGAGGTAAAAAGTCGTTATTATGAGATAAAAAGTCGTTATTACGACTTAAGAAAGTCGTTATTACGAGATAAAAAGTCGTTATTACGACTTAAGAAAGTCGTAATAACGAGATAATAAGTCGTTTTTACAACTTAAGAAAGTCGTTATAACGAGATAAAAAGTCGTTATTACGAGATAAAAAGTCGTTATTACGACTTAATAAAGTCGTTATTACGAGATAAAAAGTCGTTATTACGAGATAAAAAGTCGTTATGACGACTTAAGAAAGTCGTAATAACGAGATAAAAAGTCGTTATTACGACTTAAGAAAGTCGTAATAACGAGATAAAAAGTCGTTATTACGAGATAAAAAGTCGTTATTACGACTTAAGAAAGTCGTTATTACGAGATAAAAAGTCGTTATTACGACTTAGGAAAGTCGTAATAACGAGATAAAAAGTCGTTATTACGAGTTAAAAAGTCGTTATTACGAGATAAAAAGTCGTTATTACGACTTAATTTTTTTTCTTCATTTTCTAATTTGACCCTTGTAGGCTTTCGTAAATAAAACTAATTCTAAGAAAAACAAGTAACAGCTTTTTAAAAAGCTTGCCTGACTAAATCAATCAATATCTGCATGAAGAAGGATAAACCTTTTGTGCAATAAATGAAATTTTGATTTTGTTTAACTTTAATAGAAGAATCATCTCTACACTGCATACTAAAGAGTTGGTATTCTCATAGTATTCTGTGCGTGTGTGTGGGGGGGGGGGGGGGTCTGCTAGTGGAGTTATCTGCCCTTGCATGGATCTAAATTGATTTTGAACTTATAAAATCTGTTACAAAATCATGCATCGTCAACAATCTTTTTTGGAGTGTACTAGTAGTATTTTCTCCACTGAAGTAAACAGTAGTATTGTGTGTTTATTAATTGTTTTTCCTTAAAAGGAGGGGGTAGTCTCACTATCATATATTGAGAATGAAATAACTTAAAAGTAAATTCCCTACTTAAACCTGTGTGGAAAGAAAAATCCAAGATTTTGCACTTCTTTCTTATTTATTGTGTGCATCTGAATGGAGACCAAGACTTTGTGGAAATGCGTTGTTTATTATTATTGGACTAGTCCATTTATGGAATAAACCAACCGTAGCATCGATAAACAAATTAGAAAACTCATTTCTTTAGTGTTGCATGTCCTTATAGTGATATTTTATACGATATGTTGTTTAAAAGAATGAGATAAAAAATTAATTTGTAGATAGAATTTCTGAAGCATTAGAAGGAGGTTAAAAGGAAATACATTAATTAATTCCATGAAAATTAGAACACCCATCAATCCAAGGAAAAGGCGCGAAGAAAACAGTGACATTTGGCGCGAAAAGAGCGATTCACCCCTTTCGTAGAGTATAAATGGACTAATCCAGTAGTATAGAAATGCAGAAAAAAGGATACACGGACAGGTTGAAACGGTGAATCACATGGAATAATCTGTTCAGTGCAAAGAGTAAAGGAAGTAAACACTGCAGTATTTTGCATCAGTAATATCGTTCTTTTTTCTGAAAACTGTTTCTTTTAAAATGCAGGTAAAGAATTCCAATAAAAATCAGCCTGCATAAAATCTAGTTGTCTAGGTATGATCTATTAGTTTCGGATTATGGAAATATCAATCCTTATACAGCCTGACGCCGTGACGTCAGGCAATATACATGTATTAAATGAAAGGTGGGACTAATATGATAAATATCAGTAAAATACCCATTGCATGGACTTTATAAAAAAAATAAATAAATTCCCATTGTGTTTCAATAGTCTTATATAGTCCTTTAAAGTAAACAAAATATTATTTTCTACTTTTTATAAAAGAATTAAATTTCAATTAACATTTTTGAATATTTTATGTATTAAGTAAATGGGTTTTTTTTTTTTGTAAAAGTCTGACAGAAATCTGAATGAGTTTCAACTTTTCTATATTAATTTTATTAAAGTTCAAAATTTCGATTATAATCGATTATTAATCGATTATGCCCAGCCGATTATTACCGATAATCGATTCTGATTTTTTTCAATTCCCCATCACTATGCTACCTGCTTTGTCAGCAGGGACTAGTACGTACTGATCTGACATGTAACCTATATCTCATTCTTTTTCTATGCCCCCGTTAACGAAGTTTCGGGGGTATGTAGTTTTTGTCGTGTCAGTCCGTCTGTCTCTCTGTTTGTCTGTTTGTCCGCAAAAACTTTAACCTTGCCCATAACTTTTGATTTATATATCTGTTTGTTCGCAAAAACTTCAACCTTGCCCATAACTTTTGATTTATATATCTAGTTGAGCTATGACTTTCATATTTCACATGTATATTCCTTGTGACAAGACCTTTCGTTAGACACACAGTTTGACCCACTTTTACACAAAAATTCCAAACTGTTAGTTTGGCCATATCTTTTTGAACAGTAGATACCAGGACATTTATACTTCACATATGTATTCTTTGTGGCAAGACCTTTCATTGGATACCAACAACTTTGACCTTGACCTTGAGATTTCTGTACGTATGAAAAAACTTTAACCTTGGCCATAACTTTTGAACGGTAAGGACTAGGGCTTTGGTACTTTACATCAATTACATGTGTAATACTTGTGAGAAGACCTTTCATTTGATATCTAGAACTTAGATCTTTGATCTTGACTTGGAGTTTGACGTACTTTTAAAAACAAACCTTGACTACAACTTACAAAGGGCTAGG